GAGCATGAAACTCTCAATCTCAGGGTCATGGGTTCGAGCCCCACGTTGGGCGTTTTTTTTTTCCCGGGTAGTTGGCGTTCTGCGCTCCCTGGTTTATAAATATCTCTCTATGTTCTAGCTTGCTATAGATATTTGCATGAGCCCGGCTAGCTCAGTCGGTAGAGCATGAGACTCTTAATCTCAGGGTCGTGGGTTCGAGCCCCACGTTGGGCGTTTTTTTTTTTCCGGGTAGTTGGCGTTCTGCTCTCCCTGGGTTATAAATATATCTCTATACAGAAACCACTGGAAACTTCTGTTCCATACATCCAGGCCATCAATCATCTACAGCTGTGCTATAAAACAGACGGGAGGTCTCACTATCCAAGTTGGCAGAACGTAGCTCAGCTTCGGTAAATCTGAAATGCCGTAAACGTCAACCCCACCAGGAAGAGAATCGATTTTTCCCCCTCACAACCAAAACGGCTCAAATTGCATCTAGACACGCTTCCCAGGACAGTTCTACATTCATTAAGCTTATTCATATACTAATATCTCGTGTATATATCTATATAATATTGTATAACGAAGAAATAATTTATTTAATTTAATTATTCAATGAAAATATTTGTAAACAGATTTATTATTTGTAAAAAAATCCTTTAGTTACCTAGCTTGCTTGCTCGATATTCTCTAGCTGTAGATAGTTTTGTTGATTAGTTAATAATTGTCGACTAGTCGCCGTGACGTCATCAATAAATACTTTCATACCTTCAGATATACAAAGACTTGATTTCTACGCTACAATATATAGTTTATATATCTAATTATAAGGTTGACCCTAAAATTCGTGTTTTTTTATTACTTGGCGAATAATATTATTACGGCGAATACATATACAACAACAACAACAAAAAGGCTTTTTTTAGGGCCCATTGCCCTGTATGGATTCGCATACAACAACAAAACAATACAGTAATTCCTCTCCCTTTCCCCATGTGCACGCGAGTCTTTGTTTGAAAAGGGATTTATTTACACATCTGTTCTAAAACTTTCCTCACTACCTCTTTTGTGTATGAATCTATTTACAATTGATCTGTAGAAATTATAGAGTTCTATTGCTATATTTTTATTTTCTGAAATAGTTCTCAGCATCTGTAGTGGGTTGCTAAAAATCCAGAGGTGTTTTAAAGAGTTTTTCCTCTTTCTTCACCTAAATATTTGCATTCTATGATAGGGTGGGAGATTTCGTCAGATATCAGATTTCCACATATCCTGCAGTGAATGTTTTCCTTTTTGATGATGAGAATATGACTTTCTCTATCTAGAGTTGAAGTAATTCTAGTCGAATACATATACAAGTTAGTAAAAGAAAAAAAGGCATCTCCTTATCGAAAAACTGAAAGTTGCTGATGGCTTGCGCCATCTATCGGAATAAATATCAACTATTCATTGATTTTTTTAATTATTCCATAATTTATCAAATACCCATTCTTGATTAATCAAGAAAAGCTAATCACATACGCGTTTCGGGATATTTAGCCAATATGGAATAATTAAAAATCAATGAATAGTTGATATTTATTCCGATAGATGGCGCAAGCTATCAGCAACTTATAGTTTCCCGATAAAGAGATGCCTTTTTTTTTAATTTATGAATCTTATCTCAGTGCAATGTCACATTTGTACTATTTTTTTCACATAATACACAAAGACTTTATACATAACGGCGAATAATATTATTACGGCGAATACATAATATTACAATTACTTTATACATAATACAAAGACATTATACATAACGGCGAATAATAATATTACGGCGAATATATAATAATTCATAATACAATTACTTTATACATAATACAAAGACTTTATACATAACGGCGAATAATATTATTATTGCGAATATATAATAATACATAATACAATTACTTTATACA